GCACTCCCAAAAAAGCTTATGAGAAAAATAGGGAAAAGGTAACGTGGCCCCATAGCCCCCATGCCTGAACCACAGACACCATCGCACTATAGGTGTCAGACTTCAGGAACAAAGCTTTGGCTTGAAAAAACAAGCAGCCCATTCCCTGCTGAAACAACAGCCTATTGAGTGACTTTGGCAAAAGTGCATTTCTTTGCATTTCTAAAGTATTAGCAATGGAGTTATTTTAAAGGGTAGGAATTTTAGGGCAAAGCACAGTACTCATCAAGCCAGTTATCTGTGAAGGCATTTATCAACGCTCCTACTCAGGTCAGATGCAAGTGACGCCACCGAAGGGTCAGAGGTTCACTTCTAACCCTTGACAGCATCTCAGCTGATCTGGGGAAGCTGCTTGATGTCTGCAGGTCTTGGCTTCATCATTTATAAAGAGGGTTGAATTAAATGACACTTATCATATGCTACAGTTCAAAAAGCGAAAAAAGAAGAAACATATCTTCAATTCATTTTATTAACAAAGGAAATTAAATTATCAGCACAGACTGATAATTTTCCACCTATTTACAAAGCTGATAAAATATTCTAAAGCTGGTCCAAAAATGCTTATAAGTAGGATTGCTCAGGCCAATAAACCTGCTCTTGAAGTTTAACTATCAATTTTTCTTCTCTTCAATGATGTATCTTTCCTCTTTAGGTCTCAAAAGTTGCTGTAAAATCTTGAATTTCTTTGTAAAGCACGATATAATTCATCCCAGTCTGGTGTTTCATCAACATAACAGTTCTAATTGCCTTATTATCTGCTCTGGTGCAGTAGTAAAACCCCTCAACATTTCATTTACCTTACAACAAGGAAACCCCATATATCTCAGCCTAAAGGAGATTACCTCCACCTCGTAGATGAGCAGAGGCATGAAGACTTAAAGCTCTCTGGAAAGCCAATACAATCTATCACTATTTAACTGTTTGTCAATGTTTATGCCTATCTCAACTCACATTTAATGGAGCTTTTGATTGTTATTCTCCACTATAAAATTCTAATGGCAGCTAAATGTCACTAATTCTCTTCTGAGTTTAACATGTACCTTGCAATGTTACTTGGGAGACAAAATGATCTGGTAGAAGATATATGGGCTTTGGAGTCATAAGACTAATTTGCATGGGTTCAAATCCTAGATGCGACTTTTTTATCTATGTGGTTTTAAGTTCGTTACTTGCCTCTCTAAACCTAGTTCCCACATAAAACTGAAAGGCCATTATATAACACAGGAGTGAATATAATTACAGGTATATTTACTGATCCAATGCTGTACACACGATAAATATTCGGTATATTTTAGTAATGCCCTCCTTTACCCATTAGTGCCCACTTGACTGGCTTCTGTGTTAAATCGGCCAGTTGACTATTTAGTTCAGTCTCTGGTAATAATCTGTGAAATCTACTTGGTAAGTTGCCAATACAACTGGCTCTTTTTGTTTGGTTTTAGGGTTTTTGTTTTGTTGTTGTTGTTTGTTTGTTTTGTTTTTTGAGACAGGGATTTACTACATAGCCCTTTCAGGCTGGCTTTATACTAATCATGGAGTCTGGAGTGGCCTTAAATTCACTACAATCCTCTGGCCTCAGACTTCCATTGTTTGACAGGAAGAGAACAGAATAGTTAGCATCTGAAATACCAGAGAGCACCATGTATAGAAAAAAATATTCCATCAAATTTTGTTTCAATTTTATACATGGGTCTGCATCAGTGTTCTTTGTCATGATACAAAATAAAACATATTTCTTACTCTGGTTTAGATCAAAATAGTTTGAAATATGTTGCTCTACTGAAGACAGTTATCTTGGACTCTTCCTGCCAGTCCTCACTACTACTGAGCCTTTAAAATTCAGTGTTTCAAATTCCAGATGCGCCCTACTCTGTTCCTCCACATAAACAGTTAATAGAAACTGGAGGCTAACCGTGTTTTATGTGGCCACTTCTCTTCTTTTTCCTTCATTTGAACCACAGTAGCAAGTAAAAGACTCCTTAAGCGGGGAGGGAACCCACAGAAAAAGCAAAAGAAAATACTAAAGGATTTCACAACTAGAAACCTAGTCACCTACACAATACAAGACAAAAATGTACGAAGTATTCCACAAGCTACAACTGTTTCAGTAAATATACTGACCTATAGAAAAAAGATGTTGCTTTACTAAACACATATTAAATTGGGGATTGGGTTAGGGCTATTAGGAAAAGCTTTCACCCAAATCATGTGTGTGTGAAAATCTAGAATGAGCTGAGAAGATGGTATTCAAGATACCAACATGGTGAGTGAGACTGATAATTAGTTATATCCAATTTCTCTCCTCCTCCTCTGAGTCTTGCTATATGGCCCTTGAACACACAACACTCAGTCCAAGCTGGCCTTGAATTCGTCAAATTCCTGAATGTTGAATGCTAGGATTCCAGGGTTATACCACCGTGCTCAGCTTTTGGCTCACAAAGAATGCACTCCTTAACTGTTAGACTTCTGGGTTACTCTAAATGGGCTCCTAGAAACACAATGTTACAATTATTTTCTACAACCAAGACCTCATAGCAAGTTTCATCCCTTACAAATCTGTTAGAGTACAAAATGGTATATCCAGGATACCATGTCACTGAGGAGTGCTGCCCTCCGCACAAAATGGTATATCCAGGATACCATGTCACTGAGGAGTGCTGCCCTCCGGGCTCTACCACTTTCAGCCTTTAAGCAAATCGTAAACTCAATTTCTTCACTACAATTACTTTATATAAGTAATCACAACGGATGAAGGCAGAACAGGTATTACTAACACTGTTGTTCTAATAGCTGTGTATGCTGCCAAAACAAAAGAAGCAGGAGATGGTGAGAAAATTTAGATGCAGAAAACACTGGTGTTCAATAAATAATTTATACAAATGATACACGGCTAACTTTTCTGAGTTGTTCTCATCACTTGGTTTCAAAATAGTATGGTATACATTACTTATTTGTAACTCAAAGCAATGCTACATACATAGTTGCAAATTTGAATACTGGTTTTCTACTGAAGTTAATTCTGGGTCACAAATGCAGTTTAATTCTAAAGCACTGTACTATAGCTAACAATCACAATTTCACAGTTGTAGCCATAAAATAGGGAAGATGCCATTCTGAGTCTTCACAATAAATACAAACCTAGAGTAGGATAGGACATATCATGGTATGTGGTAAACAGCCGGCATGAATGTCCTATCAAGTGAAAAATGATGCTGGTGTGGGGGAGGGTCACTGCTGGCAAAAACTGAACAAGAAAGCTCTGGTGAACGGCAGCCAGCACTCAGCACAGTGTCTGCCACAAGTAGATGGTCAACAAACAGAGGCTGAAAGAAATCCAGCAACGCAAGCTCCAGGCTCAGGGAACGCATCACCGCCTGGATGGCAGTGAGATTAGCAGCCAGTGGGGAGGCACTAGCTCTCACCTCACTTCTCCCCCACCCAAACTGTTTCAAATTGTTCTCTTGGACAATAATTTTCCCTTGGGAAGACAGACAGATTTTTCAAGGGCTGTGGTAGATGCTTAACTCTGTAAGAAAGAGGAGCTTCTGTATACTTGCTGCTGAGGAAAGGATTAACTTTCGACGTCTTCAAATGTACTGATTACCTCTGCTTCTGCGGTAGCACACTCCTTTCAAAGAGCAAAGCATTTTCACTCATTTGGTTCCCAACAGGGCATTTCAGCCTTTAGACACACTTCAAACTTGCTACTTGTCTTAGGGTTTCTATTGCTGTGAAAAAGCACCATGACCATGACAACTCAAATAAAGGAAAACATTTAATTGGGGCTGGCTTACAGTTCAGAGGTTTAGTCCACTGTCATCATGGTGGGAAGCATGGCCTCATGTAGGCAGACATGGTGCTGGAGAGGTAGCTGGGAGTTCTACTGGCTTGGGCATCTGAGACTCAAAGCTCACCTCCAATGACACACTTCCTCCAACAGTGTCACATTTCCTCCAATAAGGCCACACCTCCTAATAGTATCACCCCTAAGGAGCTATTTTCACTCAAACCGCCATACTACTCAAGACATGTTTCACTGAACTGGGTGTGGTAGCTCACACCTCTAATCTCAGCGAACAAAAAGCTCAAACAAGAGAGTAACTGAGATTCCAAGGTCACATGGGCTACACAGTGAGTTTCCAAATTAGCTCAGGCTATAAAATGATACCTCAAAATTATTTAAAAACAAACAAAAAATGTATTTCACTGTTTCGATTATTTCTGAATTATAAAACTGTAGCCAAGCAGGTCATTAAACTGAAGAATTTTATTATTAAATTTAGAAAAAGAATTTATTTTAACATGTATAGGATGTATCTATTCTGAAATAGTGACTGTTACAATTCTATACATTTGATTCTAATCAAAAGATTAATCCTAATCAAAATTTTAAACAAATTCAAGCTCCATACTAACTTCAATGTTATTCACTACTTTAAGTCAAATGCTAGGGCAGAGATGTAACTCACATGGAAGAGTGCTTGCCAAAGTTCTCACGAAGCCCTGGGCTTGAACGCTAACACTGCATAAACCAGGCATGTGGCACAGGCCTAGAACCTCAGCTCTTGTGAAGCAGCAGGAGGACCAGAAGCTCAAGGTCATCCTGCACTAAGAATCAAGTTCCAGACCAGCCTAGACTACACCTCCCACCTTTTCATGGGACCTTGTCTCAAAAAATAAAAAGTCAAATTATGACTATGGCTAAATCTTTCAGTTGTTAACTTGGTGGTCACAATAAGATAAACTGCACAAGGCAGTCTCTCAAACACTTTCTTCATTTTTAGGTTTTGGCTGAGATTTTTTTTTTTTCTTTTCTGTGTGTACTGGTTTTGAATACACATAAGAAACAACAGAGAAGTATTCTGTATACGGAGCTTTCATTTCTTGTACAATGTTACTAAAAATGTACCACTTGGTCATAGACAGATTAGGTACTATGACTTTTACTTAAGAATACTGACCCCCTCATCCTGGCGGCGAGGTTGGCAAGCTGGAACTGATGGTGGGTGGAGGGAGAGTGAAGGAGACCTCCTGCTTCCAGAAAGCTGACCTGGATTACATTCAGTATAGACTGGAATAGGAAATCAAGACTAATCATCCTGATTCAGCAGGAGAGAAAAACCCAATTACAATCTTAAAGAAATCACCAGCAATGAAGTCTTGACATCAAGCTTTGCACACACTTTGCACACACCACGTTCGTGCAACTTTGAGCAAGACAATGACCATGACGTGAAAAGTACAGAAACAAACAGACTGGGAGCCAACTCTACTGGCTGAAGAAGAGAAAGTCTCACAAGCCAAACTTAAAAAAGAAATGGAGTTTTAAAGGGGGACTCTAATGAACAAAGATCAGTTCCAAAGTGATTTAACAAGATGTCTTCTAAATGCTTGATGCCTAGAGGTATGAGCTAGTAAGGGAGGTGAAGGTTGTCCTTGAGAGACAGGTCTGTGATGCTTTTCATCAGGAGTAACATGTAAGGGCAGACATCATATAAATAAAAGTCAGTCAAAAGGATGGAGTGAGACTAAAGAGATTTAAATACTAAAAAAGAATTATCAAAGCCCCCACATGTTTAGTAAAGTCTAAATTTATTCAAATTACATTATTATTTAATCCAGACAATATAGTTATCATTTACTTATATAGTAAGCTTCTTCAAGATATAATTGTTTTTAAAATTAAGTGGATTCTTTGTTGTAAACTTTTTAAAATTAACTGATTTGGTATGTGCATGCACGGATGTATGCCTATAGCATGCATGTGATGGTAAGGGGACAGACAACTTCTGAGTGTCTGTCTCCCGTTCCACCCACACATGGCTCCAGTGATGAACAACAGGCTCAACAATGAGTCCTTTACCTGCTGAGGCATCTTGCTGGTCCCAGTTCTCTAAATTCTGGATTTGGAATTATTATGAAAACATAAAACATCTATTTTAAAACTCTACAAAAATAATGCACACAAATAAAGATTCAAGACAGTATTCTAACTCATAGAGAATTGGCTTAAAGGTCACTTACAGTATTTTTAAGAAAATTACATTTTTAAAACTCTCCTCATATACATACATATTAATGGGCCTATTTTTTCAATTATTTGATTCATTTCTGGGGAAAATCAATTACTTAAAATTTCATATAGGTCTGAAAATATTGAAAAAAAAATTATGGCCTTACTATGGTAAATTTTTTTTAAGCAAATGTAAGAATCATTACTTTCACTACATGTAGCATTCTCTCTACTAAAGAAAAACAAACCTGCCTTGATTCCTCATGTAACTTCTACACAAAACTTAAAGCAATCAAAAAGCCCAAGAACATTAAGAGCACATGGATTCTAAACTTAGAGCAGGTAGCAGTCTTCCAAGTATTCATGAAGATACACAGGGCCTAAGACCCAGTCACAGCTAGTGGCTCTCACAGTTCACTGATGTACCAAAGGCTTAGGAAATGAATATGAAAGTGCTAGTCATTCTCTAAAAGGCTAATGCCTATTAACAGCTTAAAACAGGGCACAGTAGGGGGTTAATGTGTTGTTGTCTGAATCACTTTCATCAGTTTAAGTACCTATTAGTCCTTATTAGCAATGTGCTAGCAAGGTGCTATTGGTCTTTTAAAGTTTTATCTGCTGCTCCTTATTCTATTTGGCCAGAAAGATACTTTGACAATCATGTTTGAAACATGAACTCATGAAGTTTAGGTCTGTATTTTTAAATTTCTGCATTTTACCTTGTATTTCAAAGTGCTCTTTCCTTTAAGGATTATATTCAGAAGTAAGGTAATTTATTTGGTATACCTGAATGTCTAATTAGTTTTTATGATTTGTGCTGTCATTTATTTTTTGAAATGAGTTCTCACTATTTCCCAGGCTGCTCTTGAACTCCTGGGCTCATGTGTCTTTTTTGGCTTTGTATTCCAGAAGTTGGGATTATAGGCCACCACTATGCCTGGCTTAGTACTCTCTAAAATTTACTCAAAGGGAAAAAATAAAATGAATCTTCTAGTAACTAAAAGGAATGCACATTGTAAATTTTCCCAAGTATGATCACTAGTATTTAATGGTTCATTTATTTTCAAATATAACAAATGGTTAATCTTTGGATATCACAATTCATTGTTTAAAAATTGAAGTTCAAGGCTAGGAATATAATTCATAATTACTGATTGTCTGGCATGCATAAAACCCTGCATTTGATCCCCACCACCACAAAAACACAAAACAATAAAGCAGAAAAATAACTTAGGGTCTGCTGAACTCACAAGCTTCAAGGTCTAAATTTGGAGGAAAATCTAGGACTCTAGCTCTGTCAGTAGTTAGCTGGGCAGTCCGTAGTGGCAAGCGCGCTATGGAGAGAGGGGAAACTGGAACATGGCAGTGGCAAGTGAGAGAGAGGCCTGAGATCTGCTTGCTGTTGTGGCCCAGCTGGGTCAGAGGACGATGTGTAACAGCCTGGAGCTTAAGCAGACACAGAGCCCCGGAACCTGGCCACGGGATGTCCCTGGCTCTGGGCAACAATGAAGGCCGGAGATGAGGAAAGGTTTCACTGTCTGGATTGGACCTCTTCGAAGGCCCGCAATGCCACGGGAGGCCATGTTAGTGTCAGTGGTCCATGCCGCTTGCTGACCCAGGCCTTGATTAAACCTGAAACCCATGTAGACGTATGCAGACTGTACCTTTGCCTGATGCTTTGGTGATGTCCTCAGGCCTTGCTGCCTCTAGCGCTATGCGGATGTGACATAGGTAACCACCCCAGGCCATGTCAAAGCTGGTCCTGCCTCTTACACTGTGGTGCAGGCTGTGGCATTGGCGAGGTAGAGCTGGCTCTACCTCAGTGGATGACTTCTGGCATGGATGCAGGTGGAGAAAGACTCATTCTCCCTTAGGGGGCTGGCCAGTAGGAATCTGACCATGCTCCAGTGAATATATGGACAACACAAAAATGGACTTTTTTTTTCCCTTGGGGGAGGTAGAGATCAAGGGGGGGCGGGGAGAGACAGACATGGGAAGACTGGGAAGTGAGTGTGATCTGGGTGCATTATGTGAGATTCTCAAATAATAAAAAAATTTAAAATAATGATGATGATAATGAAAGAGAAGTCCCCAAAGATGCCCTTCCTACCAAGTAAAAAATAACTAGAACTTATTTAGTAATATACAAATGGTAGTTATAGAACAAAAGAAGATAATAATAAGCATAAGACTAAAAAACAGTTATTTCAGGTAGGGGAGTAACACAAAATTAGTTTTTATTTCTGTTCTCATTTTAAGTGATGGGTTTGTGTTATTAATATTGCTAAATAATATGGTTCAATTTAACAAAAAAAAAATACCAAACTTTCTGTTTTTCATATTTCTCAAGAGTCACTGCTATTCACTGCAAACGAAAATTCTGTTCCAAGCCCATGAGAGGGCTCAGTGGGTGAGGGAGCTTGCTGCCAAGCCTGATGACCAAAGTTCCAGGCCTGGAGCCCGTAAGTTGGAAGGAGAGAACTGACCCTTGAAAGATGTCCCCTAACCTTCACCTGTGCACTATGTCATACACACACACACACACACACACACACACACACACACTAAATTAAAAAAAAATTAAATTCTCTAATTTGAGTAAGAATGCATATTGGGTCAGGTAGTGGTGGCCCACACCTTTAATCCCAGCACTTGGGAGGCAGAGAAATGGGGATCTCTGTGAGTTCGAGGCCAGTCTAGTCTACAGAGTGAGTTACAGGACAGCCAGGGCTAAAAAGAGAAACCCTGTCTCGAAAAACGAGAGGCGGGGTGGGGAGCATATTGGTTGGCATTACATGGACCTTGGTTTTATACTCAAATTGTATACAACTGTTCCAGAATTGAAACACCTCATATTAAAGAGTATGCTAAAGATATTGTAAACATGAATAATTGTCTTGAGCAATGGGGACTCACAAAACTGTACAATTCTTTTCAGTGTTTTTAGAGGAGCACATGAAGAGAAGTCACACAGGACTTGAAAAATCCAAAATTCCTTGGCTCCTGCTTAAACCTCTACGGTTAGAATCATGAAGGATCAGCTCTGGGTGATGGTTGCTTACTGAACTAGTGCAATGGTTCTCAAACTCTTGAATTTCAAAATACTTTGACATTAAAAAAATTACTGAGGACCACACAGAGGTGTCGTTTATATAAATCTGTTAGTAATGGCTGTATCAGAAACTGAATCAAAAAACTTATGAAATAATTAATATTTTGGCATTCATTTTTTAAATTAGGAAAAATTAAAATGTATTTAATTCACTTGCTGAAAAAAAAGACTGGGAAGATGGACAGATAAGTCCTGGCAGCACAATCATGAGGACCTGAGCTCCCACGCCCAATAGCCACACAGCGTGCACACCTCTAACCACTGCTAGGAGAGGAGAGAGGAGGGGAGGGGAGGGGAGGGGAGGGGAGGGGAGGGGAGGGGAGGGGAGGGGAGGGGAGGGGAGATACCAACAATCACTGGGGTCCACTGGCCAGCCAACTTAGCCAAAAGACAATCTGCTGCGGGTTCAGTGAAACCCTCTTTAAGGAAATAAAACAGAGAGTGATAGCGCAGGACATCCGACATTCTGCAAACACACATGCACACAAGGGCAAACACTACACATAAATACATTACACACATAAGTAAATGTGCCATTATGCTAAAACAACCAATTTTATAAAAAGTAACTCTACTTTTCAAAACAAATAGCGAAAATGGTAGCATTTTACAGTTTTGGAAATCTGTGTCTAAATTAACAGAAGTAGCTGTATTCTCCTATCTGTTTCTGCATTCAGTCTGCTCTAGTATTGCATAGCCCCTGGCAAGCCCATGTACAATCGTGAGCAAGTGTACTTGAAAAGGAGGCTGCAGAGAAAGCTCCATCAGTGACACGCTCGCCGTACAAACTGGAGGACCAGAGTTACCCCCAGGACCCAAGTGAAAAAGCTGGGTAGACACAGGGGCTCCCTAGCCAACCAGCATAGACAAACCGGAGAGCCGAGGTCCCAGTCTCAGAAAACTAAGGGGTTGGTGTCTGAGGAAAACAAACAAGCACATCCTCCTCCCACCCGACACAAAGCATTTGAAAAGGG